ATAGATATATATATAGATATAGATATAGATATAGATATAGCTCGAAAAATAATTCCCGGTTAAGCGTCAATTACTTATAATAATATCAGCCTTGTCTTTGTGCGACCTAGCCGAGTCCTCTAATCGGTCGCTTTTACGCACAAGGGGGGGCTATCCCGAAAAATGCTGTTGTGAGAAAATCGAAGGTAAAGTTTTTGCCCCTTGTTCGCTTTCTTTGAAAGTCAAGGAGAGTTTTCTTTATAACCAAACAAATATACACACCAATGAAACTTAACTTCTGCCATAGGTACGGCAATGCCCACTTTTGGTGTAGGTCAAGATTTCCGGAAACCCCCGAAATCTGGGTTAGCCCGCTTGTCCTTAAAAGCGACCAATTTTCGTATAAGCGTCAATTACTTATAATAACTTTAAATAACATCAGCCTTGTCTTTGTGCGACCTGGCTGAGTCCTCTAATTCGAGGCGCATAAAATTGGACGTTCATAAACCACAAGGAAAAGAAAAAAACAGTACCTGGAAGTGTCCTCGAAGTCCATGTCGACGGCATAGCTAATGTCTCCTGTGGTGCTGTTGATGAGGAAGCCGGTGGTGGTGTTGGCGGCGGTGCCGAAGCTGTAAGTGAGCGTGTCTCCGTCAGGATCCCACACGTTGTAGCCGGGGGAGGGGAAGGAGGTGCCGGCCGAACCCTCGCCCTGTTCCACCTGGTAGCTCGTCTGGTACAGCACCGGGGCCTGGACACAGGGAAGACGGGGTGGGAATTGACAGTAAATTACAGATAAAGTAGATGGTTGGTGCCCCAATTCACACATTATACATTTTTGGGGGGTACTATGGCGCTCGCAACTGCATACGGCTATATGAGCGCGCGGATAAATTTTAACATTTTCAGTTGGTAGGAAATTTTGAATTTTGCCCGGATGGCGGCCGAAGTCTACCCTTATCGATTTTGGACAACCAATGGATCTTTAACGTGCGCAACTTTCACACGGGACCTCAGATTTTTCGCCATTGTCCGAGAAGGTTAGGTGTAGATCTTTCTCAGCATAAGATCAGGGGTGTGGTCGAAAGACTGCAGTAAGAAGGAGCCAAGGAGTAGCAGTAGAAAGGCTGCAGAAAGAGTCAGGAGGCCAGAGGAGGGGACAAAGGAGGTGATGGGGAGGGGCAGAAAGTGGAGGCGAAAGCAGACGACAAAACATTGCTAAAGAGCAGGAAAGGAGGTGAAAGGAGACAATTTTAGAGAAGAAAATTTTTCGGTCGCTACCCGGATTCGAACCAGGGACATTTGGGTGGGGACAGAAAGATGAGACGAATTAATTCCTACCAAACTGAAAATGCTTTATGTGTGCTGCGCGCTCATATGACCTTATACAGTTGCCAGCGCCGTAAAACACTTACAAAACGAAAAAATATATATTACTGTGCGATAGCGGGTACGCTATTTCCCAACCCAACACACTCAGGTCTGACCATATATACCGGGTCCATCCGCTGTACGAAAATACATACCTGGTTCACCTCTACGATATCTATTGTCAAGACAGCCGAAGAGGAAGAAGATTGAGTGTCCTGCACGGTCACCGTCACGTTATAGCTTTTGTCTTGGGATTGGTAGTTCAAACCTGCAGGCAAAAACAAAGAGAGAAATCAAACTTTATTTAGTCGCTTTGAAGGACAAGGGGGCTATCCCGAAAAATGCTGTTTTGAGAATATCGAAGTTAAAGTTTTTGCCCTTTGTTCAGTCTCTTTAAAAGACAAGGACAGTTTGTTTTTTTATTACCAAATAAATATACACACCAATGAAACCAAATTTCTCCTATAGGTAGGACAATGCCCACTCTTGGTGTAGGTCAAGGTTTCTGGAAACCCCCCAAAATCTGGGTTAGCCCGCTTGTCCTTAAAAGCGACCATTTATAAACGAATGTTTTTTTTTTTAAGCTGTCTTATTTGACTCCCATTTCGAGCGATTACATACATATACCTCCTCCCAAGCAAAACTTAATGTGCATACGATCCCATATATATATTCGTAGTCAAAAGTGCTCTACGACATTCAATTCGGAAGTCCCGTTTCTTAACAAAGCACAGTGCTGAAACGGGTGTTAATGCCATCCTATACCTCATTTTACCGCCTACCAAGAACAAGGTCTCCCTGGGTCTCCAAAACAAGGTTAGTCCTTCTCGAAATGTTTCGACTCTGAGGAAGATTTTACTAACCTCCCTCTTTCTAAATTTTCATATTATACAACTCTGTATGTTGTCGTTGATTGACTTACAAATACGGCATAACGTACCAAATTTTATTTATCTTAGTTGTTAAATTTCGTTCAGTCAGCATGCAAGTTTCGTTTGCATTCGTTATTCTAATTAACATATCCCTTGTTCAGAACCTGTCTTGCCATATCTATAAGCATGTTAGCATTGTTCTAAGATGAAAAAGTGGGTGGTTGGGGGTGCTCTGGTGTGGTTTGCTCCTTCTTTCCTATAAAAAATCTATCGTCTCTATCTCCCCTCTTTCTTTTTTGTGTTTGTTACTCTCTTGTAACACCTCTACTAATCTTCGGAACTTATATGACCTTATTGTGTTGCAAGTGCCGTATAACACTTACTACAACTAAGATGAGAAAGACAATTTGGGAGGACCTCTACATTTTATTGCAAGACCAACTTGTTGACCCCGAGAAGCAACTGGGTTTCGACAAATGATAATAGAATAACACATTATGCCTTCAGCAGTTTAATGATGCAAACAAAAAGAAAATTAATTTTAAAAAGTAGGCATGCCTCGTGTTTGTTCGTTGTTGGTTTTTTCTTCTGAAAAGTACCAACCATCCTGTTACAAATATCACCAAGAGGCCTGCTTTTTTCGAAAAACGTGTGGGTAATTAAGCTTAGAATTGCACTGCAACAAAACACTTGGCCAACGCTTTTGTCGGTCAGTTGTAGTCAAATTGATCGGTGAAGCCAACCGCACCAACACAAAGCTTATTTTCATTGTCCACAACCCACAACAAAATAGTTGGCTAATTGTTTTGTCGTAGTGCGGTGCTATGGCTTGTTCACTTTCGTCTGACCACAAGCAAAAAAAGCAAAATACAAATCGCTCTGCTAAATCTTTTCGGGTTTTTGCATGCGTGTCTTAAAGTTGGATGACCAACAAAATCTAACAACCAGTAAGAATCTAGTGAAGGACGCTGCAACTTGAGGTTCGGGCACGTTTTCTTTAACGTAAAGCCTTAGGCCTAGGAAAGTTTTTAAATAGCACACACCTAAAATCTGAATAAGGGGACCTATTTTTATCAACACCACGTTTTTTACTTGAACACACGCCAATGGAACACGGTCCTAAAGAGGAATGAGCACTTTTCGATATTCACGTGGATGTGTCGACACGGTGGAGGGAGGAAAACTACAAGCTTACCCTGACATGCTGGGGCGGGGTGGTGTCACTCTCTCAAAGTGGGTAAGTTGAAGGCTTTGTTAAATCTATTGTTAAAAAAAAATCATTGTTTGCAGTGACCCTGTGTATATACCCAAAAAGGCGGTGTTTTAACGAAGGGCCCACATTGAAAAAATAATGTTATTACTGGATCAAGATTTTTAGAACGAATGTTTTTGTTTGGTCGCTGGCCTACAGAATTACCGTGCACAGTTTCAAGCGCATTTGGTAAATCAATAAATGAGCTAGAATTGTTTAACGCTGACACACGAAAGAGAACAAGCTAAAGGTTATAGCTTTTCAACCTTATCACTGTTAGCTCTTCTAACATTCCAAGGCGTGTCTTCTCGTATTTTAGGGGTGGGGGAGGGGGTTCGATTCAGTAAGCGTTTTACGGCACTTGCAATACAATTAGGTCATATAAGTGCTGAAGATTAGAAGTTTTACAAGAGAGTAACAAACACAAAAAAGGAGGAGAGTCAAGGACGACAGATCCTTGGTGGGAAAGAAAAAGCAAATCAAATCACACCAGTTCACCGACCAAGCACCCACGTATATCATTTTCTTAGTTTAGAAGTAGTAGCCTGTGGTGGGTGGACAGTGTCCACCTGAATGTCAAGCAACACCGAGAAGTGACAGCTGTTAGATTGATAGCCGCAAAACAATGACCGTGAGAAGACTCGGTCGGTTCTCAGTTACCAGAATGGCTCGCCTCTCCTCAATGAACGACAATGGGGCGTTGTGTGAGGCGGAGACTCCCTGCACTGAGATACAATGACGTTGCGTCACTGTTACGATTGGGGAACTATTCGTAATAGAGGGAGTGCCCACTTGCGAGAGCGGATCGGATCGGGTCGGTTGGGTCGTTTTCTGGTGGTTTCAGTGCACACTACAGCCCCGCCACGATTGTACCCGACGACCTGGAAGTTAAAGTAGAGAAACCTTTAACCTCAATGGCTTCCAGGGCTCCTTTCTGCAGTTCCCTGTTGCAGTGTTGTGGCAGCCTGGAGTCCCATAAACAAGGTTGCAATAGATACATCGATAATTTTCTATTATCAAAGATTGTTCATAAGCAGATAGCTCTAGTTCACTCTGCCAAAAAAGTGTCCCCGGAAGTCCGCGCATTTTGTTCAGATGGTGCTCTAGTCTTTGTTGTGAAGCCCTCTTTCGTTTCTCCAGAAGAAGAATAGGAATAGCACAGTTCGTTAGTTTCGCTTTTTTTTGTTTTTCACACAAGTAGGGTAACTCTGTTCGCAAAGTCTGCACTTTTTCGAAGAGGGCGCCACCGGATTTTGAGTGTCAACATAGACACGTGACTCAGCCTTGTTGTGATTGGCTGCAAACACCCGATAGCGCGATTTGCAGGCCTGAATACAAATGCGTTTGTTTTTATAGGTCACCGACCGAGTCGATCGGTTTGTGCCACGATGGCCGCTCTTCGCCCTCAATTTGGCTAGCCCCGACTACCAGATCGACCCGACCCAACCCGACCCGGCCCGGCCCGACCCGGCCCGGCCCGACCCGGCCCGGCCCGACCCGACCCGACCCGATCACGTACGTGGGCGCTCCCTATAAACCAAGTTTTCACGATAAAGAACACTGATCGCCCCCCCCCCCCCCTCCCCCAAATCCACACCATTTTTTGGTGCCATAATTTCCATTTTCTCTTCCTTCCGTTATTTCCTTTTCTGGCCTTTATTGTTATTTTGGATTCTTCCTTTTCTTTACTTTTTTCCTTTCAGTTAGTTTCTTGCTAATGAAAACACGGTGTTACCTTGTACACACCCACAGATATACGCACACACTTACACTCACTCGCGCACGCAAACAGAAACAAACAAAACGAACATTATCTTTTTGTGTTTTAATACAGGTGTTTTTACGCCCCCATCGACACAAGCTAGGTTACTTAGGAGGCGGGCTTCGACCCTACCTGTCCGGCTGAGAAGGATACAATGTCCCATCAGAAAGACCTAGACACTCAGTAGAAGTTCTCCCCCACACGGGAATCGAACTCACGACATCGGCGTGCAATGACAAAGGGACTAACCGCTACACCACAGACGAAGAACAAGCAACCAACAAATGAAAGAAATATTATTACTGTGGATGGTTGGCAGCCTCTTCTTTCCTATTAAAGATCTGTCGTCTTCATCTCTTTTTTCTGTGTTTGTTACTCTCTTGTAACACCTCTAATCATCTTCGGCACCTACATGACCTAAGTGTATTGCAAGTGCTGTAAAAGTCTTACCAAAACTCAAACAAACCCTTTTTCAATAAGCTAACAATTAACAAGAAATGTTCAAAAACAAATCATAAAGTAAAGAAAGTGGGCGCTTGGCGGGTGGTCTGGTGTGGTTTGCTTCTTCTTTCCTATCAAACATCTATCGTCTTTATCTCCCCTCCTTCTTTTTTATATTTGTTATTCTCTTGTAACACCTCTTATCTTCGGTACTTATATGACCTAAATGTATTGCAAGGGCTGTAAAAGTCTTACCAAAACTAAAATAAATGCTTATTCAGTAAGCTAGCAATTAACAAGAAATGTTTAACCCTATCCGCAAGCCCGGGGTCATTTTGTACCCCAGGGGTTGTATTCTTCACATTTTAGAAAACTTTAAGTGCGAAGTTCTCTTTGAAACTTTCTGTATTTCTCAAAAAAATCATTTTGACAGACTGCTATGCAAAGCGTACGGATCGGATTAACCAGTAAATTTCCTCTTTTGGAAAGTGGGGGCACAGAGCTCCCCATGCCGTATAGATACGATATTAAAACACGACGCACGGATAAGGTTAAAAACAAATACATGTAATAAAGTAAAGAAAGCACCTGCCGCCAGTGTAATAGCACCGGAAGTGGCGTCAGTGTTGAAGATCCCCGTGCCCGCCGGCGGAGTGAAACTGTATGTGAACGTGTGGCCGGACCCTCCGTCCTCGTCATACACTGAGGCCGTGAAGATGGCGCTGCCGATAGCTGTGTCTTCTCCGATCTGGACGGTGGCAGGGAGGTTACTGAGGGAGTACATAGTGGGGAGAAGGCACTAGTCAGATTTTAGTGTTGTTTTTTTGTTGTGCTTTTGGTAACTGTTTTACGGCGCTAGCAATTGCATAAGGTCATATATGAGCGCGTGGGGCACGCCATACATTTTCAATTTGTAGGAAATTTTGAATTTTGCCCAGGTGGCGGCCGAAGCCTACTCTGATCGATTTTAGACTACCAAGGGATTTTTAGCGTGCGCAACTTGCACACTGGCCCTCCGAGATTTTTCGCCCTTGTTCGAGAAGGCTAGGTGTAGATCTTTCCTTCCAGAAGATCAG